CTTCCTTGCTGGATTATCTGCGGCGGCGGAGTGTCTCGGTAACCGCAGCCGGTGAGAGAGGTTTACGTCTTTTTAATGACTTGGAATCACTGCGGCGCCGCACCGCAACGGTAAGACCGGAGTCGGTGTGAGCCTGGGGTAAAGAGTAGTTAATTAGTACTTATTAGAGGACTACTGGCTCATTACTGCAAAATTAGAGTAGAAATTCTCAGTGTTGGTTTTGTATAAACCCTAAGCCTGTGAAGTTACAGCCTATACTTTACTCAATACCAAATTATTGGCTAGTTATTATTTTACTCTGTCATGTTTGTGGCAAGGCGTTTGACCCTATGCATAGAACACACAAGGAGGTGGATGAATTCATATCAAAAGGTTTTATTTTCCCTTTTAAACTGATAGTAAAAAAAAACAAACAGAGAAGGAATGAATATTGCTACGGAGGAGCCACATGAGCTGGATTGTTCTTGAACTGAAGTCAGAGAAGGGGAGAGGTTAGCGGAAAGTTTAGACTCAGGCTGGGAACTTGATTTAGGCAGAAGCCTACTGAATAAGTAGGTAGGACTGAAGTTGGGGGCTGGAGGTTTTCTCGGTGATCGAGTGGGTGGTGGGCGAGTCATTGGAGGGCAGGTAGGCCGTTCCAGGTTGTTGGCAGAGAGAGAGAAGCGGTACCTTGCCGGATAGGGAGATTTCTTTTTAGGAGTATATTTAGTGGAGGTTTTGTTTTGGGTTCCGTTCAGGAAGTGAGTCACTTGGAGGAAGCTTCTCTCATAAACCAGTAGTGATAAACATTCAGGCGCTGGAGAGCCAGCCGACCGCTCCTCTTACACTGGAGAAGATGAAGCTTATTGCATGTGGGTGTGCAGAAACTGCCCTCCAAACAGACTGCAGCCTAATGGCTCCACCTAGAGGAAAACGCAGACACCAGCACCCAACATACATAATCCATTAAGTCAAGCATAATATTAAGTAGTTACTAAGGAACTAATATTTACCTTGTCAGTACCTGACCATTATCTGTTTTTGTATAACCTAGAGTAAAGTCAAGGCTGAAGAGAGCTTAGCAGTGGAACTTACTTCGAATTTTCCTGAAAGGGAACAAGTGATGAAAGTATTTGCATTCAATATGGAAACAACCTTGAAGTTCCTCCCTTTAAAGCTTTATCATTTCTTTTCCCTGCTTTAAGCGGCTGAGTTCCTCTGCTCTGGTGGTGGTGAGTCAGCTTGATCCTTCTTGGTTCTAGCTCCCTTCTCTCCATCTTGTCTTGAGCTCAATGCAGAGCAGGTAATGTCTTGAAAATTTCTGCAAAACAACAGAACTTACAAGAAACACAAGAATCCACTTGGTAGCAGGACTGGGAAAATATCAGGTAGTCCACAAAAGAAACCAGTGAAGAGTTATAACGGAGTTTCAAAGAGTGTGAGCGCGCAACAAATAGACTAGGGCTAATTGGTTTATGGTTTGTAGATGTGACAGAAGACCTATATGTTGTGATATTTTCCCAGAAGATTCTGGATATATTTAATAAATATTTTAGATCACCTGTTTAAATTCCAGTCCTCTAAACTGATTTACTAATTTACACTATAGCTTAAGCAGAGTTATTAATCACCAACCGAAGAAAAATTTCTCTGTTGAAATGTTACTCAAAGGAGGCTGGATATTACCTGACTGATAAACTGTTTACTGTATAAAATAGCACAAAAGACCATGGGTTAAAATAAAATTGTCATTATTTAATTCAAAGATTTGACCCAAATGCAGAAAACCAAACAGAGAGACCAGGGGAAGCTTTAACAGGTTTATTGAGAACTGGTAGAGAAGGGTCCAGTGCTGCTCTGAACAGTGGCGAACAGGGACTGAAAAGTGAAGGGGAAGTTCCTGTGGTTAGTTCAGGCTCAGTGGGAAATTTGAGCTTCGATTTGCACATGGGAATTAAGGCAACAGGACTCACTTTTCCAGAAAAGGCGGACAGGGTTTACCCAGGTTGAGGTGTTTCCTTGAGGAACGGAGGAGCTGACTATGGTACTTGAACGGTTTCTTGTGGAGATGAATCCCCTGCTCAGTGTGAAGCTCAAACAATCCTTTGAGGAAAAGTAGATCCAAACCTCCAGTTTGAATCCCCAGCTTAGTTGAAGCTCAGACGATCCTTCCAGGTGGAGAAGGTCCCAAACATCCAGTATGCAGGATGACTTCCTGCCGAGAGGCAAAGACAAAAACAAGGTTAAGACTCAGGTTGACAAAAACTCAGTTTGACTCAGCAAAACTCAGCTTGGCTAGAGTACCCAAAACTGGCAAACACTCAGACTTAGACTTAGAAAGTACTTTATTGATCCCTTGGGAAGACTCCCTCCGGAAATTAAGGTCGAGGCATCGAGGTAGTGGCAGTCAGCAGCTTCAGAGTCCTCCGGGAGGCCGAACGAGGACAGGGCACCGCCTGGTGGTGGAAAGAGGAAAACACAAAAAACATCCTACACAAACTGGAATCCTAACAGCAGCATAGTAATGGCTTCCTGATGTTGTTATTAATCAGAATCGGCGCTTAAGGTTCAAAGTTGGCTTTAGTTGATGTTAGATAAGCTTAGATTAGATTAAATTAGATTAGATTAGATTAGATTAGATTAGATTAGATTGTTTTTTTACATACAGGCTGTTTTGGCTTAGTTTGAAAAGTTATCGTATGTTGTTGTTGGTCAAAATGTATCTGCAGTTTGATGCTTTAAGGTAACGGGTTTCTCTTTTTAGCTGGAGAGATTTAGTTTCGTAAAACTGACTTTTAAAACTTTTTAAAATCACAGCAGCCGCTTATTAAATCTGGATTTACACTAAAACACGCCCATCGGGACAAAGGTTGCATCAATAAAATGAGTTAAAAATTTATTTTGTGCTTCAAACTGCTCATATTCCTGTAGTTGAAGTCATACTAATCAATCTTCTTCCTCATATAACACAGTATATGCACTTTGCACTTTGATCAAATAATTTTCTATTGCCTGCCCAACCCTTTAGATATCACTGAGCGGAACAATAGGGAACACTTCAGAAGAAAGTTCAAACTACTCACATCTCTGAGATAAAGAAACGTGCACACTTGCTGTTCCTGAGAGGTAAAATGGCTCAGAGAGGAGTTCAGATGGAGAAAATTTCTTGCTCCATCTGTTTGGATCTACTGAAGGATCCAGCAACAATTCCCTGTGGACACAGCTATTGTATGGACTGCATTAAGGACCACTGGGATGTAGAGGGTCGGAGGGGAAACTACAGCTGCCCACAGTGCAGGGAGACATTTAGTGGAAGACCTGTCTTAAAGAAAAACACAATCTTAGCAGATTTAGTTGAGGATCTTAAAAACATTGAACTCCAAGCTGCTGAGGCTGATCGCTGCTATGCTGGACCTGAAGATGTGGCCTGTGATGTCTGCACTGGGAGGAAGATGAAAGCTGTTAAGTCCTGTCAGGTCTGTTTGGTTTCTTTCTGTGAGAATCACCAACAAGCTCACTGTAATGTCTTTGGACTGAAGAAGCATGATCTGGTGGACCAGCTCCAGGTGAGACGACAACAAATCCAGCAGAGAATCCAGCAGAGAATCCAGGACCAGGAGAAAGATGTGAAGCTGCTTCAACAGGAGGTGGAGGCCATCAATTTATCTGCTGATAAAGCAGTGAAGGACAGTGAGAAGATCTTCACTGATCTGATCCGTCTCATCCAGAAAAGAAGCTCTGATGTGAAGCAGCAGATCAGATCCCAGCAGGAAACTGATGTGCGTGGAGTCAAAGAGCTTCAGAAGAAGCTGGAGCAGGAGATCACTGAGCTGAAGAGGAAAGATGCTGAGCTGCACAAGCTCCAAAACACAGAGGATCTCACCCAGTTTCTCCAGAACTACCCCTCACTGTCAGCACTCAGTGAGTCTACACACTCATCCAGCATCAATATTCGTCCTCCAAGATACTTCGAGGATGTGACAGCAGCTGTGTCAGAATTCAGAGACTTACTAGATGATATCCTGACAGACACAGGGACAAACATCTCACCATCAGCCACTAGAGTGGAGGTTTTAGAGTCGGAACCAAACACCAGAAACGAATTCTTAAAATATTTTCAAGAAATCACTCTAGATCCAAACACAGCAAACAAAAATATTTTATTATCTAAGGGGAACAGAATGCTTAGATTAACAGACCACCAACAGTCTTATCCTGATCATCCAGACAGATTCACTTTTCTGTTTCAGGTTCTAAGCAGAGAGAGTCTGACTGGACGTAGTTACTGGGAGGTGGAGTGGAGAGGAGAAGGAGTTTGTATAGCAGTTTCTTACAGGAACATTGGCAAAGTAGAAGGATTTGGTTTTAATGACAAATCTTGGTCTTTATATTGTGACACAAGCAGTTATACATTTTGTCACAACAGAGTTAAAACTCCAGTACCAGGTCCAGTTTCCTCCAGAATAGGAGTGTTTCTGGATCACAGAGCAGGTATTCTGTCTTTCTACAGTGTCTCTGAAACCATGACTCTCCTCCATAGAGTCCAGACCACATTCACTCAGCCTCTATATGCTGGGGTTAGGCTTTATGGCTCTATATACTCCCTTGAATTCATTAACTTGAAATAGTCAGAAGTGATCTAAAGTCCAATTCTTTAATTCTTTTGCTTATTTTTGTTTTAGTTTCTAGTATTCACCTAACTAATTACAATGATATTTATCACTTTGTTAGACCAAATGTTTTTCTGCTGCGAACTTTAATCATCCTGATTATCTGTATCAACTCAAAACATCATTATTTTATTGGAAAATGAGCGGATTATGGATCAAACTAATTGTAGAAATCAAATAGAATCAAGTCGAGTCTTTATTAGATTGTATTTTCCCTGTTGTCATAGATGGAATTAAATGATGTCTGTAGTTTTTTGTAATTTACACAATAAAAACTGAAATTTAATGTTTGTGTTACCTCATAATTCTAATGTAACAGAACAGAAAATTCAACATTAGAATGGTGGATTTAATGTCTCCCTCCTTGAATCATCTAATGTTGTGGTGGTCTGCTTTCAATGCTTCGATGATCCTTTGTAAACTAAAGAACATATGAGCTATTTGTAATTATACAAACCTTATAAAGTACATTCTATTTGCTGATGATACAAGTATCTTCTGTACTGGAGAAAACCTTCAACAACTTTCAGAAGTGGTCAACACAGAAATGGAAAAATTACAGCATTGGCTTAAAAACAATAAATTATCATTAAATTTAGATAAAACCAAATTCATGATATTCGGAAACAATAAAAAACAGGAAATAAACCAATTAAAATATCAATTGAAAGTGTTGATTTAGAACAAGTACATGAAATAAAATTCTTGGGTGTCATATTAGACGATAAGTTTACCTGGAAAACCTCAGATCAGCCTAGTAAAATCTAAAATAGCCAAAAGTGTTGCTGTTATAAGAAGAATTAGTTTCGTCCTGGATTACAAATCTTTGTTTATTCTATACAACACACTCATTGTACCACATTTAACATATTGTGTGGAAGTTTGGGGGAATACATACAAAACAAATTTACAGCCATTATACATTTTACAAAAAAAATCAATCCGAATACTACATAAAGTGGGATACTGGGAACACACAAACCAGTTATTTATCAAATCACATATACTGAAATTCTGGGATCTGGTAATATTTAGAACTTCTCAATTCATGTTTAAGGTTCGAAATCAAAAACTTCCACACAATATCCAGGAAATGTTTGGTGACAGAGATCTAAGAGGTGAAGGATACTTTAAAAAACAACACTTTAAAACAACCAGGAAGAGTTTTTGTTTATCTGTGTGTGGAGTAAATGTCTGGAATGGGTTGAATGACGACTTTAAAAAAATTCAAAATGCAAACCAATTTAATAAACTGATTAAAACCGAGCTCATTTCAAAATACGCTATATAAGATGACTGTTTAATAGTCTATAATGTAATTGATGACATAAATAGAACTTAAAATAATTGTACATGGCTAAACATCATGTGGAATGGAAACAAGTGTTTTTTTTGGTTTTTTGATGTTTTGACATTTAATTGAGGATAAATTGACAAGTAGGAAAGGGGCAGGACATTATAAGATGTATCTTCTACCTGCTCCTTTTCGAACAGAAAATATAAAATTTACATGTCACATGGGCAAAATAATTTGTTTTATATTTTCATTCTTAAGTTGGTTTCATTAAAAAAAATTTTTCTTTCTTGATTGTTTTTACTGTCTGTTCGAAATAAATAAAATAAATAAAAAAATAAATACATCTTGGCTATATTGAAATATTAATTCAAGGCGCTAACTCTTAATGGGTCAGTTTTTAGAGAAACTGGAGAGAAAAACAAATAAAAAAGCATAATGCATGTGACGGTAAATGTTTAAATGTACTGTACGACCGTTCTTAATAGTTTTTAATAAATGCTTTTTTGAGTAATCCCACTGTCTGTCTTGCCTGAATACTGGGTCCTTCTGTTCTTTGCTGTGACACAATATTGTGGAGAAAAGTCCTTATTTTCAACCATCTTGAAAAGATTGTATTTTTAATGCACTGGCTGAGGTTGGGAAAGAAATTAAAGATTGCTACAGTAGATACGCTCCAGCACTACAATTCAAGTTTACTTCCATAAACACATACCATGCATGCTTGTGACATCATAGTGTCCTCTATTGCGCATGCAGGAGCAACCCACACCGACTGGATTCACCGAAAGACACCTTTTCCTGGAAACGTGAGTCCTGCTGCCTTAATTCCCTTCTTCAAATCAAAGACACAAATTTCCCACAGAGCCTGAACTAACCGCAGAAGCTTCCCCTTCACTTTTCAGTCCCGGTTCTACTACTCACAATAAAACCTGTTAAACTTTTCCCTTGTCTTTGTGTTTGGTTTTCTGCATGTGGGTCAGATCTTTAGATAAAATCATGACAATAACTATTTCTCCATGTTTACTATTGTGCTGCACATGATTCTCACATAGTTTTTATGGCCATCGGAATCTGTTTGGAGCTGCATAAAGTTTACACTGCAGTACAATATCTGGAACATTTTTAAATTAATGGGAATGATTACATAAAAATGTCAAACTTCTGAAATAAATGGATTGAAGCATTCAGACATACAGTGGGAAGAAGGACTAAAGACTGCATGCGGCACGCACTGTTCAAATGCTGTTTAAATGCTGGTTCTGTTGGACTGGTTCATCAGTTTGTTGGGACATTTAGTTCAATTCAGTGGAAGATGAATTGTTTCACTTCCATATGATAAAGTAGAAACCAAAAGCAGTTAAACAAACCTTCCAGAGAATCAGTCAGTCTGAAAACATTTCTTGTTCCTGCTACAAATCTTATCTCTACTGCGTTATCTCTACTCTTTCCTGCTTATCCGCATATTTTTGCTCTCTCCCAGTAATCTGGGTTTGACAGTTAAAGATTGACTCACATTGCAGGAAGTAAAATATGAGACATTCATGCACAGTTTCTCTTTTTTGGAATTTTGAGGTGATGTGTTAATATCGACAGTTTCCATTACGTTATTTGTTTTTTTCCAGCTTTTTTACCGTCATTACACTGTCACAAGTACAGAACAAGGAAATTAACTCTGCATTTAACTGATCCCATTGGGGAACAGTGGGCTGCCTTTGTGCAGCACCCAGGGAGCCCCCCCCCAAAGATGGCGCTGATTATCTCTAGGCTCATGCTTGGCTATCTATTGGTTATAGGGGGTTTGTTTTGTTGATTACTAAAAACTTTGTGTGCTCCAAAGGAGCTGTGTTAGAGCTGGATCAGAGGACAACTTCTAAGATGTTAACAGTGTTTTCCTCCTCAGCATAATACATGCCCTGATCCCAAGTCCATGTCTTCTCATGGACTTACCTCATTTGTCTGCAATTCCAGCTGATTTCTGCTTCTAAATCCTATAAACTAGCCGACAGCATCAACAGCAGCAGCGCCATATTCGGATGTCAGAGTCATAGATGTGAAGCAGTTTAACTCCTCCTCTCTCCTAATGTGGGCCTTTGTGTCGCTGCTGGGATGTTCAAACTGCTGTGAAATCAACAACAAAAAAACTTCCCTGGAAATTGCTGTTTTCTTCAAGCCAAAACTTGCTTGTGAGTTTTATTGAAAATGTAAAATTATTTAACGTCGTAAGGAAGTCGTATTTAAATGTCAAATCATTCTGGCTTAAACATGTATATAAATGCACTCTTTATCAGATGATATTGTCCCTAAAGTTAGAAAATTTCTGTAAAAAAATCTGTGGGATTTGTTATCTTATGCAGGCCAGTTAGTTATACGTCAGCTTGTACACCTAAATTCGGCCAATCATATATCAGAGGTCATCTGTCAATCAAATTTTTGCGGTCATAGAATCTTGATTCATATGTCGCAGCTAATATACGCAACGGTTGAAATAAGAAATCAGAATAATTTCTCTTCCCATTGAGTTCCGTCCCAGTGTTCATGGGGATGGACGTCTGTGTCTTCAGCAGGCGTAGAGCTAACAGAACTGGCAGCATTGCGAGGCAAGGGCTCAAACATGTACGGCTGGAAGCCTTCTACACCAAACCAAGCTTCTGCCGCCCTGGCGTCCTCTTCCACAACATCTTCGTCCCCGCTTTCCTCCTCTAAATAAAAAATGTATGACGGAGGAGACTCATCCATGACCTCCGACACTAAACTCTCCTCCTCTTGCATGTTTCCTCTGTCCATAGCGTTCCTTGACCGTGTCCTTGCTAAGTCACCAATTTAGTGCTGCTTGGTCCCAATGGAATTTCCCATTGGGAACCTACTAGCACTAGGATGCTAACTAGTTAGCAACATGCTTCCGAAAAAACGGCCACGACTTGCTTGCAAACTTTCCGACACAACAATCTCGCCCCCTTGATAGACGACCAATCACATTCACTTTATTCACTCGTGTAAAGTTGTGCACCACTCAAGAGAATTTGAAACTGCAATGGCTGGAACAGCCACTTCCCTACGACTTTAAATGTAATCATTTGGGCTCCTTTATGAAAATTAAAATATATTTAAGTATAATAATTTTCTAGTGAAACCTAAAAAAGGCAAACCGATTCCTGGTTCTTACTCTGTGTTAGATTTTTATCACCTGAACCCAATGGCGTAACGACACAACAATAAGCAACATTATCTGGGCGGACCCCATATGAAGTACAACACCCCATCCCCTTTTGCTACTGGTGTCGTCTTTAAACGGATCACCATCATGTTGACATCTGGCATGTGTTGCAGTATAAATACAGTCCGGTCAGTCGGCCTAGTATCAGGTGGGTTTAAGAGGAATTTTTCACACCATTAAATCTGCAAAGAGAATTCCTAGTCCACAATTGCATAGGGGGGCAACCAAGTGTCAATGACAGGGCCTCTAATAGGTCGGGGGCCCCTAACCAACTACTGTCTCTGCTTACCGATATTTACGCCATTGCTTGAACCGTCTTATTTTTGCTTGGTTTGCTTGTGATGTTCTATTCTGCTTTGTAAAACTAAAATTGTCTATGGGGTCTAATGTATTTTTTTGTTTATTCAAAGCTCCTATTTTGGGGCAATTTGTGTGGAAACCTTTGCCGCCCTGTGAACTCTGAGAGAAGAATCCGATTTTTTTATTTTTAACAAAACATTTATTTAACAATGATCGAACAATGAACAGTTAAAAGAACTCAGGTCATCAGGACACCATTATAAAAGCAGTTTGTTATATTTTAGCTCTCCTGTGTCAGAAACTCTTCTTTTTTTAATAGGGATTTTTATTAATTTCTCAATATTTATATACAAAACAAAGACATAGTATTTTGTTGATGGTCTTATGTGTAATGAGAAGCAGTCATTCTCTGTACCAAAGTGTCTACCTGTTGTAAATAGACTGAGCTGAGTAGCATTTTAAAATTCCTTTTGATTTCCTTTTGAACATATTTAAGGGTAAGCAGTGGGTTTTCAGCTTGATGTATTTCCTTGTTCCTTCCTCCTCTGATTAATAAGAATCATGAGCAAAATCGCTGGTATTTCCTGGGAAGAAAAACTAGTTACACCAAAGCTAAACCAGCTCCTATTAAATGGAAGAGAAACTCAGACAGTCATTATTATTGAGAGCTGAAATGGAGCAGAGAGGAGCTCAACTAAACCAATGTAACATCTCCTGTTCCATCTGTTTGGATCAACTGACGGATCCAGTGACTATTCCCTGTGGACACAGCTACTGTTTGGACTGTATTAAGGTTCACTGGGACGGAGAGGATGAGAGGAGGATCTACAGCTGCCCTCAGTGCAGGAAAGAGTTCATAACGAGGCCTGGACTGGAAAAAAACATCATGTTAGCAGAATTAGTCGAGGGTCTAAAGAAGATTGGACTCCAAGCTGCTCCAGCTGATCACTGCTATGCTGGACCTGAAGATGTGGCCTGTGATGTCTGCACTGGGAGGAAAAGGAAAGCTGTTAAATCCTGTCTGGTCTGTTTGGCTTCTTATTGTGAGAATCACCTCCAGCCTCACTATGATGCTGCACCATTTAAAAGGCACAAGCTGGTGGACCCCTCTAAGAATCTCCAGGAGAACTTCTGCTCCCATCATGATGAGGTGATGAAGATCTTCTGTCGCACTGATCAGCAGTGTATCTGTTATCTCTGCTCCATGGATGAACATAGAGGTCATGAAACGGTCCCAGCTGCAGCAGAAAGGACTGAGAAGCAGAAGGAGCTCCAGGAGAGACGACAACAAATCCAGCAGAGAATCCAGGACCAGGAGAAAGATGTGAAGCT